GGTGTGGTTCTTAATAACTGTGAGTTTGCTGTCCTTTCACTGTTCATCTTTTTTATCTTCTTTTTCTTAGGTAAATCCCTTTAACATTTCATATAATAAGGGCTTGGTGATGATGAAGTCCTTGAATTTAGTCTTATCTGAGAAGCAGTTTATTTGTCCTTCCATTCTAAATGAAAGTTTTGCTGGATAGATCAATCTTGGTTGTAGGTCTTTGGATTTCATGACTTGGAATACTTCTTTCCAGCCCCTTCTTGCCTGTAAGGTCTCTTTTGAGAAATCCACTGACAGTCTGATGGGAACTCCTTCGTAGGTAACTGTCCCCTTATCTCTTGCTGCTTCTAGGATTCTCTCCTTCATTTTAATCTTGGGTAACATAATGATGATGTGCCTTGGTGTGTTCCTCCTTGGGTCCAACTTCTTTGGGACTCTCTGAGCCTGCTGAATTTCCTGGAAGTCTATTTCCTTTACCAGATTGGGGAAGTTCTTGTTTATTATTTGTTCAAATAAGTTTTCCACTGGTGGCTGTTCCTCTTCCCCTTCTGGTACCCCTATAATTCGAATCTTGGAACATTTAAAGATGTCCTGGAGGTTCCTAAGCCTCTCCTCATTTTTCTGAATTCTTGTTTCTTCATCCTTTTCTGTTTGGTCATTTTTTTCTTCCTTCTGGTCCACGCCCTTGATTTGGGTCTCAGTTTCCTTTCCATTACTGTTGGTTCCCTTATGCATTTCCCTTCATTTCAATTAGTTTAGCCTTCATATGTTTCTCTCATTTTGACTAAAATCAGCCAGTTTTGTAAGCATCCTGATCACCAGTGTTTTGAACTATGCATCTGCAAGTTTGGCTGTTTCTTGGTCACTTAGAGTTATGGGCTCTGGGGCTTTGAGTTCTTCTTGAGCCATTTTTGGTCTGTTCTCGCCTGTTATGTATGAGGAGCGGAGCCGTAGATGTTCACCAGGGTGGGGCCACCCAGGTCGCTGGTTTGTAAGCTGTATGTGGGGGCGGGGTCAGAGAAAGACAATAGCGGTCCCCTCTGCTGCTTCCCGCTGCTGGGGCCTTCGAGGTCCAGTCCATCTCACTGCTTGCTCCTTCACCGGTTTATCTGCATGCGAATGTGTGACCATGGCCAGCCCTCAGTGGGTCTGCTACTCCACACCTGGGATCCGCCCATGGTTGCCTGCGTGCCTGGGTCTCGTGCCTGGGTGGGTCCGGTAGATCTTTCCTGCCCAACCCTGCTCTGCTGCTGACTCTGCCCCTCTTACCAGTTTGGCTGAAGGGTTCATTGTCGTCAGACTTCTGTATAATTCAATTTTCTGTGGTTTGGCTGCGTTTTTGTTGCTAAAACTTTGTTGTTTTTAAACTTGGTTGTGTGAGAAGGCACAATGTTTCCACCTATGCCCCCATCTTGGTGGAAGTCCTCTGGTTACTCTGAATTAATATATTTTAAAGGTTTCAAAAAGGTTAGTGAAACATGCAGCCTAGACAGTTTTTTAAAATTATATTTTATTGATTATGCTATTACAGTTGCCCTGATTTTTCCTCCTTTGTCACCCTCTACTCAGCACCCCTCACTCCCTCTGGCTAGACCCCCACCATTGTTCACGTCCATGGGTCATGCATTTAAGTTCTTTGCATTTTACTTCATTTCCTATACCATACTTTAAATCCCCATAGCTCTTCTATAACTACATATTTATACTTCTGTATCCCCTTGCCTCTCCGCCCATTCTTCCCCACCCACCCCCCACCTGGCAACCACTAAAATGTTTTTCGTATTCATGATTCTGTCTCTGTTCTTCTTGTTTGCTTAGTTTGTTTCTTACATTCAATTGTTGATAGATATGTATTTTTTGCCATTTTGTTCATAATTTTAGTCTTCTTTTTCTTAAATTAGTCCCTTTAACATTTCATATAATAATTGTTTGGTGATAATGAACTCCTTTAGTTTTCTCTTGTCTGGGAAATTCTTTAACTGACCTTCAGTACTGAATGATAACTTTGCTGGGTAGGGCAATCTTGGTTGTAGGTCCCTGCTTTTCATGACTCTGAATATTTCTTGCCAATTCTGTCTAGCCTACAGAGTTTCTTTTGAGAAATCAGGTGATAGCCCTATGGGAACTCCCCTCTATGTAACTAATTTATTTTCTCTTGCTACTTTTAACATTCCCTCTTTATCTTTAAACTTTGGCATTTTAATCATGATGAGTCTTGGATTGGGACTCTGCATCCATCTCATTAGGGACTCCCTGAGCTTCCTGAACTTCCATGCCTATTTCCTTCACCAAATTGGGGAAGTTTTCTTTCATTATTTTTAAAATAGGTTTCCAATTTCTTCATCTTTCTCTTCTCCTTCTGTCATCCCTATGATGTGAATGTTGGAACACTTGAAGTTGTCCCATAGGTTGCTTATACTATCCTCATCTTTTTTTTTTAGATTCTTTTTCTTCTTGGTGTTCTAATTAGTGACTTTTTTTCCTTCTGTTCCAAATCATTGATTTGATTCTAAGCTTCATCCACTCTACTTACTGTACTCTTTTTTCCCTGTTAATTGTTTTTTATTTCAATTATTATATCCTTCATTTCTGACTGGCTTTTTTTTAATGCTGTTGAGGTCCTCCCTAATTTCCTTGAGCATCCTTATAACCAGTGTTTTGAACTCTGTATCTGATAGACTGCATATCTCCATTTAGCTTTTTTCCCAGTGTTTTGATCTATTCTTTCATTTGGTCCATGTTTCTTTGTCTCCTCATTTTGGCAGCATCCCTGTGTTTGTATTAAGTAGACCTGCTTTGACTCCATGTCTTGGTAATGTGGCCTAACATAGTAGGTATCCTGTAGGGTCCAATGGCACTGCCTCCCCTATCACTCAAGCTGGATATTTGAGGTACACCCTTTGTGTGAGCTGAGTGTACCCTCCTGAGCCTTGATTGCTATTGGCAGATCAATGGGAGGGGTTTACATAGGCCAGTCACCTGCAAGGACTGGCTGTGACTACTGACCACCAATCTCTACCCTCCATGAGAATCAGCTGTGTAGGGGCAGAGTGGTGGTGCTCCAGTGTGGTCTGTAGCTGTCCACTGGGTGCACCGGCCCTGGGATTTCCCAGGTGGTGCAAGGCAAGGTCAGCCCCCACCTGTGTTTTGTCCAGGGCCACCCTGCATCAGCTATAAACCAGTCTGAGATGGCTGGTACTTGTGCTGGGCTTGGAGATCCCTAGGCAAAAACAAGCTGTGATTCTAGGCTGGTTTTTGCTAGTGCTGGGCCTGAGGCTCACTGAAACCAGCTGTTGCTTGTTTGATAGGATTTAGGAAGTTGTGAAGCAGGAAAAGCAGCCATTCTTATGGAAAAGCAGTTTGGGTGAGCCCTTAAGTTGGGTGAGGCAGTGTCTGCCTATCTCCAAGGCAGGTCAAACAGTGTTAGCCAGGTTGATGGAGTCGCAGATATGGCACCAACTTGCCAGCTCTGTGGCGAGAGGTGTTAGAAAAGGGACAATGGTGTCTGGTCACCTTGAAGCCAGACACTTCAGTTCCTCCCTATATACCACTGGTGACTTTTAAGCTGCTACCCTAGTGCTGGAGCTCAGAGGGAGTGAGTCTTAGTGAGTCCATGCTTGTGTTCTTTAAGAGGAACTGCTTGGAGCTCCAGAAGTTTCTTCCACTCACTCAATCTCCACTGGTTTTTGCAGCCAGAACTTGTGGGGACTTACCTTCCCGTCATTGGAACACTGGGCTTGGGAGCCTGGTATGGGGCTGGAAGTCCTCACTCTTGTGATATTCCTGCAGAATTTTTATCCATCACACATGGGTGTGAGACCAGCCTGTTCTGTGTCTGCGCTCCTCCTACCAGTCTGGATGGATGTGGTTTTTTTTTTTAATTCTGTAGTTGTCAGACTTCCATTTGATCAATTTCTGACAGTTTTAAGTGATGGTTGTTCTGTATTCTAGTTATAATTTTAATGTGGTTGTGCAAAAAGTTGAGCTATGTCTGTGTACATTGCCATCTTGACTGGAGGACGCAGTACAGTTTTAAGATATGATTTTGTCAATGAGAGAAACGATATGTTGTTGCCATATGTTATATAGTTTTTTCATCAATAAAGGAAGCTTTAAAATATCATTTTCTTAATTACTGCCAGTCAAACATCTGAGTACTAGCATGTAATTCCTTGTGCTGTGGAGGTGGAATTTTTAATAGTAAATTTGAATTAAGCAACATTAAATATAAAGACTATCATTCTTTTTTTATCCGAGAAAATCTTTGTTCTCCTTCACTTTTAAAAATTTATTAGAGCCCCAGCTAGTGTAGCTCAGTAAGTTGAGCACAGGCCTATGAACCAAAGGGTCACTGGTGTGATTCCCAGTCAGGGCACATGCCTGTCTTGCAGGTCAGGTCCCCAGTAGGGGGCACACAAGAGGCAACCACACATTGATGTTTCTCTCCCTCTCTATCTCCCTCCCTTCCCCTCTATCTAAAAATAATAAAATTAAATCTTTAAAAAAAATAAAAATTTTTATTCATTTGACATTGGTTAATAGGATTATATAGATTTCAAGTTTATGAGATGGTCGTTTTTAAAACAAATTATACCATAGTTTTTCTACTTTGTGGAACAGGCACCAAAACTGTGTGTAAAGCCTGGTTTCTTGGTCAGTATTCAAGGAAATAAATTAGCAATTATATAAATGAACCCATTAATCCATCTACTGATTTATTTGAAAAATTAAAATGTTCAACACATATTTAATCTTAACAAGTGGAATACTAAGAACTCTTTACTTGATTGGCATTTTTGTAAAAAGGAAAAAAGGGTTATGCTGTGGATTATGACTTTAATAATCTTCAGCCCATATTTTGGGCTTGCATCCTGTGTGCTCAATAATGGGTAAATATGCTGGGCTTTTTGGTAGTCAGTACCATACTTGCAAGCATATATTAAGTGATAAAGTAATTTTGGTAACGAAATGTCACCCAGGGAAATTTTAATCTTGTATCTGTGTTTCAGCTTCTGACATGGCGGCGGAGCAGGGGCAGATTCTCGTGATAGCCACCGCGGCTGTTGGGGGATTCACTCTCCTCGTCATTCTTACTTTGTTCTTCTTAATCACCGGGAGGTAACGGACGTATACCAGATTATTTCCAAGATATGAGAACAACCATTTTTAATGCACCTTTTCCCAAATGTTTTTAAACAGAACAAAGCACACCTGTGAGAAAAAGGGATCAGGGAAGATTCACTCTGAGAGCAAACTTTAAGATACCAGAACCACCCTGACTAGTTCTCTGTATCAACAGGTCCCTGAAATGAAGCAACGAGAGACTTGATAAGAACACTGAAAAAAGTGTGAATGATAGATTTGTACTTACCATAATAAGTTAATTCTCATTTTTTCCTTTACTACAACCAAAGTGTACCATGAAAGGGATTTAAAGAAAATTTAACAGAGAGATCAAACTATTTATATGAAAATTCTTTGCAAACTTCATGTTATATATATGTGTTATTTTAATCTATTAAATATTAAAAGGATCTATATTGGAATTATATTAATTGATATTTTACATCCAATATTTATTAAATTTAGAGTAATATGGATGAAAATTTAAAGTAACAATACATTTAGCATTGCAAAAGACCTAGACTTTGATCCTGACTGGCTGACTAGCTTCACCTGTCTAAACCTTAGATTTCATACATTTTATGTTCATTCACTCTCTGTATTGTTGCTAGATACTGACAACACAAGAGATATGAGTGAAGATTGTAAGTATAAAATTATTTAAAAGAATAAATGTTACTTCTTATTGAACCCTTGGTTTTAGGCCCAGACTTTTGTCAGAAATTGTGAACATCATCACATCATCACATTTTCATTCCTACAAGAGGTGGAATATTCCTTCTGGATTATCAATAGGGAAACAAAGGAACACCTCAAGAGTTTTCCCAATAATCTGAAATATACATCCTAAAAAATACCAATGTCACGACTTAAATCTATATTAAGAATTTCAGTCAAACAGTGCACATCCATGCTGTCTGCAGCTAACGTATCCTGTACTGGAGTGCCTTAATATTTCATAGTGAGCAGAAGTAACAAATAACTACACTGAGGGGCAGTAGTTCAGTGAACTAGAAACCACCTTTGTGTTGTTTATTTTTTAAATTCTACTTATATACATAATTTATTAAAATTTATTTAAAATGGCAGAGGATACGCATATATTAAAATTGTTATCTATACTTTTGACAGCAGATGAAGGTTAGAGATCAATAAACTGACAGTACTTAGAAGGCACTTACCTGACAAAATGCAATTACCACCTATCAAGAGTGTACCCAATTTAATTGTAACAAGCCTACTTTTAGAGAACTTACCAAGGATCAAAGAAAGACATGAAGAGTCCAATGTGCTAAAGTTGCAATGGTGACTTCTTTATGAAATGAACTATAAAAGGGGCACATTCATTCTATGTTAACTTAAAATTTTCATGTATACACACAGATATAGTATGTCTCTTGTAAGTAATGGTGTCTCAGAATTACTGCTGTGCTGGGGTCCAATTAGCTGATAAAAGAATACTAGCTATAACTACATGTAACAGCAATGTCATTTATCCCCAATTTATACACACACATATGGGAGCATGTAGGAATCATTATAAGGTCATCCAATAAAAGTACCAGTGTGGGCATTCCATGGCACCGCCATCGGGTACCGCCTTCCAGCACTCTCCTGTCTCTCCCTCTGTGCCAACCGCTACCCTCCGACAGCCTCTGGCCATCATCACACCTCAACAGAAGCATCTTGTACAGTGGGCAGAAGGCAAATTTGGGTGTCTCTAAACCAGCTAACCATTGGGTAGAAAGCAAAATATTCAATACTACAACCTATAAATAGCAAAATTCTTAATCACGAGCTAAGTCTAGAGGACAACTGGTTATTAAAAAATTAAAAATAAATAAATGAAACCCCACATATCCTAGTGAATGAGTCCTAAGTTTGTTTCCTTATTTATTTAAAGTTAGAATTTCTCTGACCCTATCTAGTTCTTTCTTGCAAGAAGAGGGACTAAAAGACAACAATGGCTAGGAAAGGGGAAGAAGTGCCAGTGGTGAATGTGGCAACTGTGAAGAAAGGAAGGAAGGGAAAATAATAGCATTTCGGTGCATGTAAAGTCACTATGTCAAACTGGTGAGATTTAAATAATCAAAATACCAATGTTTTATGGGTTGTTACATGTTTGATAAATGTTACTAGAAAAAAAGTAGAAGAATAAAACTCTATTTTCATTGTCATTTATAACACAAGTACTGCATGTGCATTATAAATATGGAGGCATTAATATCTTGATAATACTCTATTTTTCACAGAGCACATAATTTAAAGACAATCAGTTTGGAGCCTAGAAATAGTATCCCATTATTAAAGTAAAATGAATTCCTAGAAGGTGATCTTAACTCCGAAGACACAAATTATATTGTTAACTAGATTGTGATAATTAGGACATGATGGTTAATTTGATTCAGAAAGATTCCTATTTTCTTATTTGAAAGTTTCTTTGAAAAACTTTGGGGTATTTTTTTAAGTATCATTTTATTTAAACAACAGTGTCATTTACCCCCAATTTAAAAAATGATTCTAACTCATAATGGAAATTGATTTCAATGACATTTTGAATTGTAATTCAATCTATGGCAAGCTTGGATATATATTTTTAAATTTTTAATTATATTTACATGTATTTGTAAAATAGGAGTTAAGGTTTTATTTTCTCATGGAGCATATAATATTTCAGCAAATGATATAAATAGCACATACATATATTGGAAAGTATTTTATTAACATATCAGAAAATATTGCCTTTGGCATAAAAACAGGCATATAGATCAATGGAATGGAACAGAGAGTCCAGAAATAAACCCACACCTATTTGGTCAATTAATATTTGACAAAGGAGGCCAGAATGTACAATGGTGTAAAGACAGTCTATTCAATAAATGGAGTTAGGGAAATTGCACAGGTGCAAAAATGAAGCTAGACCACCTTCTTGCACCACATACAAGAATAAACTTAAACTGCATTTAGGACTTATGTGTAAAGCTCAATACCATAAAAATCCTACAAGTAAACATAGAAAGGAAAACTTCAGATGCTTCTCTTAGAAATATTTTTTCTGGTATATCTCCTTGGGCAAGGGAAACAAAAGAACAAATAAACAAATGGGACTACATCAAACTAAAAAGTTTTTGCACACCAAAGGAAATTGTCTACAAAAAGAAAAGACAATCCACTGAATGGAACATCATGTTCACCAATGACATATTTGATAAGGCGTTAATATGCAAAATTTATAAAGAACTCTTACAATTCAACACCACCCCCCAAAAAACAATCCAAATAAAAAACAGGCAAAGAACCTAAATAGACACTTCTCCAAAAAGGATATACAGATGGCCAGTATATATGAAGAGATGCTCAAAGTCACTAATCCTCAGAAAAATGCAAATTAAAAGCATGATGAGATATCACTGCACACCTGTCAGGATGGCTATTTATCATTAATAAATCAAAAACAAGCACTGGCAAGGATGTGGGGAAAAGGGAACCCTTGTGAACTGTTGGTGGAAATGCAAAATGGCACAGTCATTGTGGAAAATAGTATGGAGATTCCTCAAAAGAAATAAAAATGGAACGGCCTTATGACCTAGGAATTCCACTTCTGGATAGGTATCCAAAGGAAGCCCAAAAACTAATTTGAAATAATATATGCACCCCTACGTTCATTGCAGGATTATTTACAATCTCCAAGATATGAAAGCTACCCAAGTGTCTATTAGTAGATAAGTGCATAAAAAATCTGTGGTTCATATAGTCAACAAAATATTACTTGGCTATTAAAAAGAAATCCTCCCATTCGTGACAGCATGAATGGACCTATAAGTTATTATGCTAAGTGGAATAAGTCAGTCAGAGAAGGACAAACTGCACATGATTTCACATATATGTGAAATCCATAGAACAATGTAAATGAACAAACAAAACAGAAACAGACTCACAGATACAGAGAACAGACTGATGGTTGCCAAAGGGTAGGGGGCTGGGGAACCGAGTGCAAATGTGAAAGGATTGAGAAGTACAAAATAGTCACAGAGATGTAAACTACAGCATAGGAAATAGAGTCATTAATATTGTAATAACTATGTATGGTATCTGTTGGCTATTGGAACTGTCAGGCGGACACTCTATAAAGTGTATGATTGGCAAACCACTAGGCTGTACACCTAAAACAATACAAAACGATATTGACTGTAAACTGTAATCAAAAATCTTTTTTTTGATTAAATAATTTTATTTAGTTATTTTTCGAGTAGTTTTTTATCTATTTCTTCCCTCCCAGCACCCCCCCCTGCCCCGTGCTCCCCACCTCCCTCCCTTTTCCACCCCCCTTAGTTCTCATCCCTGTGTCCTTCCTATTTGTTCCTCCAAATCCCTCCCCGCTTTCCCCCTTAAATTCCCTTCCCTCTCCCCTCTGGTCACTGTCAAATAAATGAAATTATTTTAAAAAACAAAATATTGCCCTACATAAATACAACAAACTGAAGAGAATACTTTGCAATCCTTGAAGGTTATGTAAGTTTGGCCTAATGAACTTGACAGATGGGCTCAAATGTTATCTTTTCCTGAAGCAGAATTTGAAAACGACATAGAAAATTGAACAGTGAAGAAAAGTTTATCCTAAATTATTAACTCCCAATTTTTATGCTTCCAGTTTATATGACACCAGAAACATTGTACATGCTAAGGGAAATTATTTTGATTGCATAAGATGAAAATAATTCATTTTTAAATATCTCTTAAGCGCTTTGGTAGGGAAGCATTTATTGGAATTATTCTATGAAAACTATAAGAAATTTTTGAGTAAATATTGAGCTTGCCACAGGATTTGAAGCAACATTCACTTTTGAGGAACAGACTATGTGCCACAGATGTATTCTGTTCAACCAGTTGGAATTAGCAATTGGGGGAACAGTCATGTCAGACGGATGTTGATGAATTTATTCATGTTCAGGGAGTCGTGGGAGATAAGCAGCTGCTTCTGTTCATCAGGGCAGGTCATCCTGAGAGCGAGCAGAGCAGGCCTCCTCCAAGTTTCTGACATTAAAAAAAATTATACCATTTAGCAGTCTAACTGGAAGATAGTTGCCTGAATGTCTAATATTCTGACTCACAAACATTTATTCATTTTGACTTTTAACTTGTTTTACTACTCTAGCTATGAGAAATCATATAAGGAAAGACGTGATGTTTATTGCTGATTATAAAATATTCTCTAAGATTCCCATCCTTTGGATCAATCAGTCCACTTGGGAGTATTTTATTTTTATCTAGGACTAAGTTCGATACATATTAAAAAAAACCTGCGGGGTATTTTCACATTTTATAAAGGTGTTCTTGAAAGGACCCTTGAGTGATATGTATTTTATTTGCCTTTGGTTCTATCCAGCATATTCTAAAAATAAGATTCTGTTTACTTTTTTAAAAGGTGCCAGTGGTACATAAAGGCAAAAATGAAGTCAGAAGAGAAGAGGCGAAACCACTTACAGAATGGCCACTGTAAGTAGTGAAGTGACTTTCTCCCATTATTTTATATTGTTCCCAGCAATTCAAGAGTTCCCTATAAACTTGGATCAGTGAGTTAAGAAAGCCACAAAATTTACCTCCAACTTTTCATCTGGTTTCCAGGTTTGTTAGGGGAAACTGCACCTGCTTCTCATTAAATGATACTGCTTTTCTCCTAATTCTGCTTGCTGAAAAATGTGACAGACTGAATATGCTAAAAATACAAGATGACTGATTGTATTCTAGTTATTTACCATTCACAATGTCCCCAGCACGTGAGTTGGTTTTATTTAGTGGAGCATTAGCCCCAGAAATATTATGGAATTGTTATTCCTTCTTGTAGGACCTGTCATTTAAACATATAACAAATCAATTTGCAGTTCATTAACACTAAAAAAGAAAATCAGCTCCTTAACTCTTAGAATATGTATGAAATCCTTGAGCTGACTACAAGGTTATATCCATTTGCAGGATCTCCTCCCAAGCAAGCTATAATTACCACTAGAGTTGGTTTGATAATTGCCGCCCTCCCCTCCTCAACGCCCACCTTCACCTCCACCTCCAAGTGGCAAACTACTCTGTCAAGGCAATTCCTCTGTAGTGAGATGCTGAATTAACAAGAAAGGAATGTTCTCTAATTAACCACAGTGTAGAGGTAATATGTGAGGCAAGCTGTTTAACTATTTAAGCTCATCTTCTGCTTCATATTGAGCCAAATGAATAATGGACTTTTAAAACTGTATCACCATCCAGGGGAAGGAAGGGATATAAGCGAGGAAATTACAAACTAGAGGGATAATTTAGGACTATTTCTAAGGCTCACATGATCCTCACAGAGTGGTCTAAGGATCATCAGCATTAGAATATTCCATCTTCACCAAGTTCTGATTCAGAAGGTCCAGGGTAGGGCCAAGACATATGCATTTTTAGCAAACCATCCCAGGTTCTTTTGTGCAGTTAGTTTGAGGCCCACTGCACTGGCAGGTAAGAGATGGCTGATACCAGGCATGGAATGATCTGCAAATGCTGTGAACAGATGCGGAAACCAGGATCCAAACACCTGGACAGATAGCTTATGCTGAGTAACCTTAAGATTCACTGCAGGACATTTAGAACTGAAATGCAGAAGAAAGAGATGCTCCTGAAGTATTTATGATCTCCTTCCCAACTAGCAGTTTTGCATAAACTAAACCAGGTGGGCCCAGCAAGAAGCAATGAAAATTACCTGAGGCAGGATTGAGATGGACGAAAGATAAACCAATGTTTTAAAAAGACTTAAATAAGTTCAGTGAGTAACCAGAGAGTCAATATTAGAACTAAGTTTGGTGGGGTTTTTTTTCCTTTACTATATATACTGTGTTTATAAGTAAAAAAAGTGATATTAACTACTCAGTTTATTCCTTAGAAATGTGTACCACCTTAAATAATTGACTGGTTGAATTGTTAAAACCATGTATTAGTTACTAAATAATACCTGTTATCTGCGCCTAAAGTAATATTATCAGTTAGATACTGTTGATCATCTAGTAGTAGCCACTGAATTTGCATTTATAGTATTTAAATTGAAATCACAACTCCTACTAAATTACAAAAGTCATATAAACTATAAACAAGAGGTATAGATGATCTGTTCTTTCCTCCAATCCAAAACTTGTGAAGTAAAAAAAAGCATAGCATTTCAGAAGCCCTGGTGCTGTTTTGAGAAGTACTACTCTTCTCATGGGTGCATATCCAGTACTAGAAGACAGGCAAAAAGTAATAAAAGAAGGCAGCAGGAATAGAACTCAGGAAACAAACTATCGCTAAAAATGGGCATTTCTGCCTTACCTCTTCTAAACTTATTTTATTATCTTTGCTTTTGAGATTTTTCTTGAAAGGGTATGTTTCTGAGGAAACCTAGACAACGCGTACCTCAGAGTATTATATGGCTTTCAAAATCTAACAAACAACGAAATCAAATATTATCCACTATGCCACAAATTTGCATTGATCTTTCAATCCTTACTAATTCATATTTAATAATAATTTATATTTAATATCATATCTATGCAAAGGCCAAAAGGTTCGTATGTGCTTATTACCTATAAAACCATACAAAAATAATTTGGCAATATACAAAGATGTATAAAAAAACCCCATCTCCTGTCCTTCTGGAACTAGAAATCTAATGTGGAAAACACAAACCAATGAGCGAAATAGAGGAATAACCACAGGCAGTCTGTGGCTTCTTCTGATACTGAGGAAGTTGCAAATGAATATGCAACCACTCTATTCAAGCCCCCCCATGCCTACCTTAACTGCCCCCCACCAGAGAAACAGTAACAGCTACATAGCCAATGACCAGATTTGTGCCTTTGATTCCTACCCTTCCTTCCAGGATAGACAGGTGATCCTTCTCAGAACCTTTTATTCTTCCTGGCCATGGAAACAACTATAAGAACACAAGAAAAAGGCTATTATTTGTTCTCGTCTTCTGACACTGTGCCATGGGGTCTGTTCTTTACTGCCTAAGAGTGTCTGGAGGGGGAGAAACCAAAAGACCCAGGCATAAGTTCAGGAAAACCTAGGGTGTTAGAGTAAAAAGATCCTGGGTGGACATTAATAACACCTTTGCAGCAGAGGTGGTGTGAGAAGTGGGTGGGGGCAGGTTCATGCCTCCTTTCCCCCACGCCCTGAGCTAGATCAGATGTGAAATGTATGGGCTGTCAGTAGGTAAGTGAGCTGATTAGACTTTTACAGAAATATAATAAAAATGTGCTTTTAGAAACCGTCAGTTTACTTTCTATTACACCACCAGGTCATTTTACATTAACAGTAAATAAAATATTTTATTTCAAGTACTCAAAGCTTTAATGGACTTGGGGCAGACTGGGAGGGACAGAAAAAGAAAAACGAATTGAATTTAAGTAATTAACAAGAGTGAGTTCTTCAGTGTGACTCCTCCCTTTAGATAGTCACTGTTCACAAGATGTGTGATTACAAAAAAAAAAGCTCTTAAACTGAACCAGTCTTTTATTTTGTTGCAGTACGCTTTCCAGGAATTAAAACTTACATAGATCCAGATGCATATGAGGACCCATCCCTAGCAGTTCATGAATTTGCCAAGGAGATTGATCCCTCAAGGATTCGCATTGAGAGAGTCATTGGGGCAGGTAACTAACTGTAAAAGCTACGCTTTTGACAATATGATTCCTTAATGGTTTAACTGGTTTATCAATAAAATACTTTAAATCTTAGCCGTTTTAGTCATTGAAAATTTTTAAGAAATCAGAAGTTATGTTTGTTAGGCAGCCAACGTGGCTAGGAAAGGATAGGGAGCCAAAAAGGTCCAATTAAGGGCTTTTATTTGAGGTGGGGCACTGCGATCAGATAGGCTGCGTCCAGGCAGAGGACAGCAGAAAGGGGAAGGGTAGAAGGGTGTGTAGCAGACCCCCCGGGGAGGGTGCGTCACCCTGCTGATCTGCCCTACGTGTCCTGAGCATAGGTGTTTTGTAAGACAATGTCCTCTGATCAGGGATGGCTGATTTGGGACACAAAGTCTGGAAGATTTGTGGGCCTTGCCTCTGGGAAAAGCTCGAGGAAGGAGAGGGCAGGCAGTGAAGATTCAACTGGTTTCCAGCAGGGCGCCCAGTTGTGCCTCAGTTGCTTCTGGGAATCTCGTGGCCCAGTATTTAGCTGGTGATGCGCACCCTCTTTGTTCCAGCATAGGCAGTGGCTTAGGTCCTCCAGGTCCGGGTACATTCTAACAGTGCTGTTTTTTTTAAGTATTTTAAGTGTTTTAATTCAGGTTCCAAACAATGAGAAAAATTCAGAAATGTTACTTTTAACATCTTGTAGTCTTCTTTCAATATGGAGATAAATTACAATAAAACTAAAGTAATTCAGGAATTTATTTTTTAAAATGTAACTTAAGGAGATTGTCACAGGTTATTATAGATTTACTCAAAGCCCAACATCTATAGATATATACTAAATTAGTATTAACATTGATGATCTTGAGGCTCTGCAAGATCCAGAAGTGTTCGAAAATCATTGAGGATATCAGGATCAATATAGTTTTACATCATTTTAATGAAATTAGTAATTTTCCATATGTAGAATGTTCACACACTAACAACACTGTATTATTCAACTCTTCTGAATAAATATAAATTTATTGTGAATCAGCCTTTAAAAATGTATTCTGTATATTACTTAGGGCAGAGGCTAAGCCAATTATAATAACAAAGAGACCCCAGAATATTTATTTCTCTTTGAAGTCCTCGACTCAAGGTGAGAGATCCATGCTGGCGGGGGAGTTCTCATTCTGGTCTGAAAGGACCAGAGTTGCTTCTACTCTTTGCTCTGCCTTCCTCCAGTGTATCATCCTCCTCTGTATAGTCCGAGATGGCTCACCAGCACATCTCTCTTCCAGGCTGTAAGAAGAAGCAAAGAGTTCAGTCTTTTTGCCTTTATCTTTACGGCAATTACCTGGAAATTGCAAACACGTCTATTCACATCTCAATGGTCCAAACACAATAATGTGGACACACAAATGCAAGAGAATTTGGAAATAAAATCTGGAACTAGGCAACTATGCATGCAATTGAAAGTGAGGAGAGGAAATGAATTACTAAACCAAGAAGAGAAACTGGATCCTGAAGGGGGTGTATGTCTCCTCTAGGTGCAGGATATCTGTGTGAAACTTTGGACAGAGCAGAACATAGCAAAGCATAGCCATTCCAGCCAAGTATCATATCTAAGCCAAGGCCAAAAGAGGGGAGCTGATTATCCCTTGTCCCTTTCAAAGCTCTTCTCACCAGAAGGGCCAGCTAAATAATTAGCAGGGACCAGTACAAAATGCAAATGTGCAGTCCCTTGTTAAAAAGTGATTAAGGATTGTAAGATCACGCCAAGAGAGCATTAAACAAAGGGTGGGGCCCTTCCAAGCTCCAGGCTCTGCATGACTATTCCCACTGAGCTGACTATGTTTCCCAGGAGCACAGAGAACTAGCACTATCTCCAGAATCCCAGAGACACTTGTGGTGAGTCCCCTATGTCACCTGATTCCTATCACAGTGGATCATGTCACCTCCTCTAGGGCCAGGCCTCCCTCTTAAAGCTGACACAAGGGTCCTCTACATTTGATCCGAATGCTTGCAGCCAAAAAGAGACTGTCATTATCAGAAAGATGAAGAACCTGTAATGCATCCAGAATCTCTATCCTCTTCTACTGACCATAAAGAACGCCAGCAGGCTTTGAAGTTATCATTGAAAAGAACGATCGCATTGTATTCATTTAGTCTGAGGGTTTGTTTTCTTAAGACAGAGGAGGAAGAGGGAAGAAATGAAGTTGAGTAACTTCATCGCACCCCGCACTGGGCTTTCTCCCTCTGACGCGTTCCGTTACACTGCAGTGCTCCGCACTCCCGTACCTGCAGCCGCAGCATGTCCTCTCACAGCCCTCTGTGCAGAACTTAAACGCTGGTGGCGGAAATCATATTAAGAAACAAAATCAAATACCTAAAGTGGAAACAAAGAAATTAAATTTTTCTTCAGTTTTGGAAGGTTTTTTTCAACTAAAATATAAATTTTGCCCTAAAAAATGTATAACGGCTATTGCCAAAGTAAGCAATAACCGTTCATGAGACTTTTAATATTGTATTTTCCCTGCTTCATCTAAACTCTGTAAATTGTGATGGGATTCTTCGCATGTGGCAAAGACAATATCTAAACCATGTAGTCAGCCCTGTACATCTGCATCTCTTTATATATCTATTCATCGTTGACTGTTTCAACTTTCAAATAATAGGCAAGCATCCTTTTACTGTTCATTTTCAGGAAAACCATAAAACTAAAAATGTTTCACGAAACAAAGCTCTTACAATACAGCTCTCCTCTTTGTGCTCCTGGCCAGTGCTGCTCTGTTGATTAAATTCATTACGTTGTGTTCCTAAAACTAATTGCTTGTGAAAAAAAAACTCATGAATGTGTGCACTCTTCCTATGGCAGCAGTGTGGAAAAGCACTGTTCAGTCAAACTACAGAGGAATTAATGGAGTAGTGTGACGTCTGTGACATAATGGCACAACAGCTTATTTGCCAAATTTTTTACTGTAAATCTTTTCCTGAGGTTGTCTCATTCCCTTTATTTTCCCCCCACCTATTTGACTGTGTCTTCCTGGACTTCATTTCATCACTGTCTGTGTGTTTTACGTATTCCCTCTGGAAGTGTAAAAGAAAGGACTTTGTTGGCGGTGTGTGGGCTGCACTGAGGTGGGATAGAGGGGAGAGCTGGGAGGAAGAGGCAAGAGACCAGGTTTTAATCGTTGTCAGGTAATAGATATTCAGGTCTGATAAGTATATTGAGAGTAGCAATAGATTCACAGTTTGTTGCTGAGAGGAAAGGTCTTCAAGACCTGCATGATTTTTAACCAAGAAATATGTAAGAATTTTTTCCAGGTTTCTAGTTGGGAGATAAAAATGTATGATTATTAAATGTTCTTTAAATAAATTATTGAAAAGTGGACTTCAAAATAACCACATTAAAACTTTAAGAACATGGAAAATTATATCACACCTAATCCATGACAGATGCTTCTTAACATGTTAACTGAAAAAGATGCATTAGTTGGCTAATGTCTACTTATAAAGACACTGTGCTGATTAGTTTTTTTTCATATTGAGTCATTATGCTTATTAAACACATATGTATCCAACTTTGTCCTGGGATTTATAGCCATCTAAATATTATGCAACAGATCCTTAGAAAATTTAATTTGTCCTATATCTAGGTTATATATATATATATATATATATATATTTAAAATTTCTTACCTCTCAATTTTACTGTTTTGTTAAATGAGTTTTCTAGGTTATAGGACAATTTTTTCTTTTTCTGTATATCACTATTCTATTTAATAGTGGCAGCTTATCTTTGTTTATCAATACAGGCCTGAATTTCCATAAAAATGTACATTTCCATTTAAATGAAGTGAGCAGCTCTGTTGCAAGGCAGACTATCAAGATGATCTATCTCCTTTGACTTTTTGCATCCTAAAATGAAATTCTGTGGCCAGAGGACTAAAAAACAGAAATTCCCAGGCAAAAAGAGCCAAGTCAGATTAGGGTAGAATTATGATTTCCTACATATCTTGAGATAATGAGAAAACTGGTGAACTGCATTTTAATCATGAGCTGAGAAAGGTCATTGAAAGGCTGTCCCTTTTTCAGGACAGCACTGAACCTAAAGCATTGTAGAAAAAACTTGCCTAGCAGAGTACCTATAATTTTGAAACATTATTCTATTGAAAAACTCACTTTTGGGTCTCTAAGCCCATAGGGCACCCTCCTTATTTTTGACCTTTCCTTATTCCCTAGTCTCAATGGAAATGCATAAAATCTCCCCACCCTTCCTTCCATCCCGTTATCTATACAAAACTCATTATGGCCTCCACTATCCGCCTTATCTTCTCCTGGCTTAGTGTCACCATATTTCCTCACTTCCCGGGAGCCCAGGAAGTTTTAACTGTTCATTTTTCAGCAGTCATTTGCAGGTAAAAGAAAGTCAAAAGGACACCAAAAAGAATATAAAAGTGAGTGGCAAACCAGTGAGTTATTCAGCCTAATATTTGGTTCTGTTATTGCCGCCATTTTTCTGGTCACAGTTCCCCTTGATGGCTTATCAGGCAGAATGCTTGCGTTGTGTACCTCTCCTGATTCCCTGTCATCTCCCAGCCCACCTCTCATCTCTGTTCTAGAACCTCAGATTTTTGTTATTTTTTAAAAATTTCTCTTAGTCTTTTTATTGTGTTACTCTTCTATAGCCATATTACATTTTCTTACAACATGACAATGAAAAATGTAGATAGTATTCCAGATGTGGTTTCACAACTTACTTTTTATAAGAAAAAATGAGTTTATGGCCCATTTCCTCTATATTTAGATGTGATGGTTTTATGAAATACAAATTTTGTTCTCCATCAACTTAAAGGATTATGGTAGAGGCCAGATTAATTATTTTTTCTATTTTTAGAAACTCTTGTCTTGTTAATAGATTGTAAATAGGATCAACTACAGATTCTGACAAGATCTTCATGCCTTTTACCCCAGAATTTCAAAGGTTTCTCAATTAAATGATTTAATGAAAGATGAGCTTTATCCCTTCTCCACAGATGTTACGATATGAATCAAAAAGACACAGTCTGAAGCCAGACAGCCCCAGGCTTGTATCATAATTTTGCTACTAATTCCCTCTGTGACCTTCACAAATTTAGTAAACTTTCAAGATCTGGTTTGCTCATTTTGTAATAAATTCACAATAATATTAGCTATCTTGTAGGGATAATGCAAGAATTGGGGACAACACATAGTGATGGCTAACTTAGGAATGACATCTGTGATTTTCAGAGTTACTTTAGAATCACTCATTAAAAATGAAGTTTCAATTTTATCAGTAAATACTTGTTGAACAAATAAATATATGTGTATCAACAAAAAGCCTAATATAGAGTGTAAGTTAAAGTACAACAAAATTAAAATAATATAAAATCAAATGCAAAATAACAAGCTAACAGAGCCAATTTATAGAGGACAGGTGTGAATTATAGTAGTTGTGATACTTTACATTAATAATTTGCTTGATAAATTGAACTGAAATTATAGAATTTATTCTATACTTTGCATTTATATAGCAAAATATAGAGTCTTACAGAAAAGATTACATTGAGAATTTTTTTTGTATTGAGTCTATATAACAGGCAAGGTAATGATAAAGAGTTTTCCTAATAACATACAAAAACATTAGTTTTTCAAAATTTTTTCTTTCAGCTTTTTTTTCTAATTTGTGTATTGCTAAAATATTTGGTGGAATGAAGGAAACTTGACACTTTGTTCAGAAAAGCATTCCAAAGAGACAGGAAAAGACTGGATACAGTTTATAGAGAAAGAAAAAATAAGGACATATTCTCTCTCTTAAGTCTAACAGCCAAAAGCAGGAGGAAAAGACCCACATACCAACAACAATAATATTTATTCCTTACATTACAGTATATTAGCTTTCTCTTGCTACATACCAACTTACCCTAGAACTTAAAAACAAGAATGTCTACTATCTCAGTTTCTGTGGGTCAGGAACTCAAGCATGATATAGCTCCTGCAGGGTTGCTCATGAGGCTGCGGTCAAGGTGTCAGCTACGGCTGTGGTTTTATCTGAAGGTCCAACTGGGCAAGCGTGTACTTGCAAGCTCGTTTATATGGTTGCTGTGGGGCTACGGTCCCTGGAAGGTTGAAAGCCTTAACTCCTAACTGCCAATTGGCTGGAGAACACTCAGATTCTTGTTATGTGGGCTTCTCTAATATGGTAGCTTATTTCATAAAGCCACCAAGAGTGTCTGCTAGCAAGATTGAAATCATAATCTGTTGTAAACTAATCCTAAAAGTGGGATCACATCACCTTTGCCATATTGTATTGGCTGCAATTATGCTATTAAGTCCAGATCACACTGGAGGGGAAGGGGCTACGCAATGGCACAAATACAAGGATACAGGATCATTGCAGGCAGTCTTAGAAGTCTGCCTACCACATAAAGGAACTTTCCAAACTTGAAGTTCATTTGGGGTTTTAAGTTTAATATGAATATAATAAAGATGGGGGATTCAAAATGCAATTGGGGGGAAAGATAAAAATGGGATATAGTTCTGAATTTCTCTTTTGTATAGAGAAGTAAAAGGTTGTTTACGCTCTGTGACCATCTGATAATGCCAGACACTCATTAATGCTGCCTGAGAGACTATGGGAATTTACGGTGGTGAACAGTGAGATTTGATTAAGGCCATAAATCTGAATGTATGATCTGCTTATGTCATCCTATAGTTCATCTAGCATGAGGTAATTAGTTGATTGTTCCCAAGTGGTACTTGTGTTCTCTAATTGTCTATTTATTTAACTAATGGCTTTTGTCTTTGTAGCCATTTCAGATTATCCATTGCTGTATAACAAACCATCCCAAAACTAAATAGCTTCAAATAATAATCATTTTGTTTACTCACAATTTTGTGAGTCAACAGCTTATGCTACATTCAGCTGGAGGGTTTTGTCTTCCGGTCTCATCTGGGGTCACTCCTGTGAACAGTGGCTCAGCTGGACAGCCTTGCTGTGAGGTGGTTGGTCTAAGGGGCGGGGTGGGGGAGTCTGACCAGGAACCACTCACCTCTGCTCCATATCTTTTCTCTTCACTACCACCAGGCTAAACATGACCATCTTAAGGCAGGGTCCTAAGCAGATGGCAGAAAGAGTTGATAGCCCCTTTTAGCCTTAGCTCTGAACTTCCACAATGTAATTCTGATACTTTATCTTGTTCAAAGCAAGTCACAAGACCAACTCAGATTTAACAAAGTGGAGAAATAGCTTCTACTTCTTGTCGAGAGAAATAAAAAAAGGCAAGGAGCATATATACAGAGATGGGAGAAATTTTGGTCATGTTTTACAACCTTTGTTTTGTAAAAAAACAAAATAAGGTTTTT